AACCAAATGGAAAAAAAAAAAAAAAAAAAAAAAAAAAAAAAAAACACATGGTCATCCCATTCTTTTTTTTTTTTTTAACAGAAAAAACACAATTTTATTGATAAATTAAGTACAAGGATACTCAAACCATTATACATAAAACCAAAAAACCATCCATTTAGTTAATATTCCCTCTTTCACACCATTTCTATTCTACCCCCCTTTTTCTTTTCCTCCCACAATTATATGTAAGACATGCAATTGGATTATTAAGCCAATCCAATAGATTAAAGGTGCACCTAGCCTTTCTTGCTTTAATTCATACAAAAGATCTCAGTTGTATGAGTTCCAGCAGCTTTTCCGTGTTTAACTCTGAGTGATGAAATATCTTTTGATTTCTTGATAGCCACACCGACCAAACCACAACATTCCAAACACAGTCCCAACCTTCCCTAATGCGTGAGTCTTTGTTCCGTTCCCCGGCTGCTCGAACGTTTTCCAACAATTAGTGCCCAGCGTTACATTGATCCCCCACCATTTAGCACATGCCTTCCACAGCCACTTAACTATCCTACATTTTAAAAACAGGTGATTAGAATTCTCCTCCTCTTCATCACACAGTATACACTTGCTTTCTCCCAAGTCTTTGGTAATCCCTCTTTTCTGCAAGTTAAGCATGGTTGGGATTCTATCTAACATTAGTTGCCAGTTAAACGCTGATATTTTACTCAGAAGAATGGGATTCCACACTCTCTTGAAGTTTGTCACTCCCTTTGATCCACTCTGCTCCTTTATCAGAAGTGAGCAAGCTGATTTGGTTGAGTATTGGCCATCCTTGTTGTGTACCCACACCCCTGCGTGTCAGCGCTGCCTGGATGGTCATTCCCATTCATTTCAAAAACAAAATCAGATATTTGGTGTGGCAGAAATAAGATTTGTATTGTGTTTGATGGCATCAACACTCTCAACTATCTCATTCCAAGAAGTACCAAAAATGAAAAAACTATCTCATTCAAAGAAACAATGTGAATGTGCAACTATAAAATAGTAAACTATCTGGAGGTTGACTGACAGTAGCCTACCCATATGCCGCTAGTTTATGATCAAGTGAACTTCTTCAATTTTTGTTTTATGTAAATATAGGCTAATAAAAATGCATAAATTGCATGTGGATCCAAAACTAGGCAAAGAGACCAATAATTGGATTTGAGTTCCACTCCATCCACCTAGGATCATGCACCCAATTAGCCAGGTTTCTTTATATCTTTCACAATATGGATTGAAAATTAAGGTTATATCTAATATGATTGTAATTTTTAGTTTTAGTTTTGATTTTTAAAAATTTTACAACGGATGAAAACAAAAACTAAAAGGAAAAAACTAAAACTTGTTTAAAACAAGTTTTATGAACTTATTAATTTGATGGTATTAATTTTTTTTTCTTATTTTTCAAATAATTATAACAATATGTTGTAAAAACACATGAAAATAGTGTTGTAAAAAGTTCACACGGCACCGCCTAAGTGCTAGGTGATACTCTACCACCTTGCTTAGGCTTGAGGTGATAAATTTTAAGTGTTTTTTTATTATTTTTTGGACTTATTGTTCTATTTTAACATTTTTTACAAAAAATAAAAAATAAAAGACCATTTAAAATGCTTAATAGTGCTAAGATAGCACTTAAGCACTACCTAGGTGCTAGCTAGGCAGTTGTCTAATGCCTAAGTACTATATTAATGTTAGCTACTTGTTTAATGCTCATCATTACCTAATGTTTTTTACAACTTTACATGAAAATAAATAATTTTTCTTGTTTAAAATTTCAAAACTTATAAAACCAAAACAAAATACTTAAAACCATAAAGTATTGAATGTGGATTAAAAAAGTAAAATAAAGAGAAATGAGCCATACGTAAGCCCTTCGGGTATATTTGAATAAGATTATCTTAAAGTACTAATCTAGAAGAGAAGTTCTTTTTTTTTTTTTTTCTTCACGTTCGTCAGACATGCTCAAGTCTTTTCATGTGAAAAGACTGAGAAAAGACGAACAAGGAAATGTTCACCAATAATGAAGTTTTGATGGTACTCTAAATTCCAAATTAAAAGGTATGGAATTATACAAATTTTAAAGACCTCTCAATATTATTGACGTTAAAAACCTAAGCAGTGTGTCGAAGTATGGAGCCAACCCAAGACATTTGTTTATTACTATTTTGGAATAGAAGCTTTTTTTTTTTTTTTTGTCTGCAAAGTATTATGGAATAGGAGCTGACGTTGGTTTCTCGTTATTGATAAGAGTAAGACAGTGAAAGGAGATTGGAATCAATTATTTTGATTTTTTGAACCATTTTAAGTGCTTTTTCTTTGGTTGCTTTTGATTCATAATC